CTCTTTCTTTGTTTTGAACTAGGCTTTGATGATCCTTGGTCCATGAGATTCCCATCCTATAAGTGCATTTTGCGCTTGTTTGGACAGCATCAATGCAACTCCTTGTGTATATGGAGCATTTTCTTCTTCATTGCCGGAGTATAACAGAAGCTCCCCTGAAGCTAGTCGCTGTTGTCCAACTTGCGTCTAATGTGTTTCATTGATCCCAAGCACCTCTAGGTTGTTTCTCCTCATTTCTGCAGCAATTTGGAAGGCTCTCCCGGTGTCCCACATTGTACGAACATTCCATGTACCTAAATAAATGGTTGCTCTGGTTGTCAGAAGGGGCATCGGCCTCGTAACTTCCGAAGGAATTCGGCTTTCATCATGAGGCGTCATAATTCTTCTAAATGAAGAGCTTCTGACTCCCGGAGCAGAGTTTAAAAGGTTCGAATAATTTTTTCTGGTTAGCGTTTTTTAGCGGGTTAGTTTTCTACGGGATGGGGACGCTAACCCCATGTCCAACCCTCCTCCTTTATCCGGGCTTGGGACCGGCAGTAACCCCCGGAGGGACTCCAGGCGGAGTTCGAAAGAGTAGTAGTAGGTGTTTTAAGAACGTCATCTGGATGAATTAGAATTTGATTATGTGGACGGAAGAAATCGCGTTGCAAAATCGCTGTATCAGATAGACCATGAGTAAAGTCATGTCAGAGTGGAAGAGAGTATCTATCTGGTATAGTCCGACTGTTAAGTGCTCTATAGTCGCCCCATGGTCTAAAATGGGAAGAGTGCTTCATGATTATCATACGGAGTGTCGATGCCCACGGACTACCGGAAGGGCTTATGGTGCCTCACTTTATCATCTTATTGAGTTTGTTCTTTGTGAGAGCAAGACGAGAGGGGCCGAGAGGTCTTGGAGGTGCAAACACTTGTGATCCCTCCGTCTTAATGTGGTGTGTGACGGTATCAGTTTGTCACGTTTAAAACTCAGCTGTAGTAACTATGGTGACTGTTCGAGCAAAGTGGTATACTTATCCTTCTCATAGTGACGTTTTATCAATATTTGTATGAAAGTCGCGTCGGATATATTTCTTTTGATTTCACAGTTATCGTTGGCAAATGCAAATTTCCGGATTCTAACGTATACGAGAATTTCATGGAATTGCAAGAATTCAATGCCGACTATGGAAACTAAGTCATCGGATGCGACGGAGCTTCAGGAAAAATCGCAATCGTGACCAAAGTATAATTATAGCTGTCTATTCTCACACTTTTTAATTTTTGATCTATTTGTAGCTTGCATTTCTAGTAGGAGGTTAGGTGATTTTTTTCAAGTTTAGTAGTTGGTACTACATTACCCTTAACCTCATTGTCGACTAAAAACTGTGTTCCAGTCCTTTTATCTGTGACATATAGCAAACAACTGTCTTCGGAGTTGTGGCCGGAGACCGGAGTCATCAATCGTCAGCTTTAAGGTTTCTCTACCGTGTTCGTAAAGTTGCAGGAAGAATGCTTTTTTTCGGTTGAATGCCTTAAGTTCCAAGATAACGGCATGTGTCATGTCGGCTGGTGTTAAGACTACGGTGTTTACAGTTCCGGAGTCTTCGTCAACACATGCATCGGTAGGAATATTCCAGAATGGGTGTTGAGCTACCTGATTGGTGTGGATCTTGAGTTTTTGTTGTAACTCGTTAATGGAGTTTGTGTGTGTTTGTGGTAATAATTGGGTCCTAGTCCGCTCTTAAATTTTGTCGCCTACGTCTCCTTATCTGTCAGAATCGACGTCTACCTCTCAAATTGCTAATATTTGTTGAATTTTTTGACGGAGGCCTCTAAAACACAACTGATATAACGCGTTCATCTACAAGACAATTCCTCATTTTCCTGTAGAGAGATGTAAGTCTACTAGATCAAGTACAGAGATGAGCAATCAAATAGGTGATATAGCTGAAACACTAATCTTATAAGAACAAATCCCAGCTCCTGGGATTATTCTCGTCGAGCTTTAGGAGAATAGAAGGTGATTTGATAACGAAATACAAAATATTGAATGCGCCAAGCCACCCCAATACGAGCATATTATCAGGACATCATTGCCACGCTCCTCGAGGCAACCCTCGGAAAATTGCACGTGGAAGAGAGAACTTCCAGGTCCGTTCTTACTTTTTCTCATTGAGAGTTGCTCATATTTGGGATGCTTTGCCGGCTGAACCGACTAAAGCCTCCTCAGTGAAGGGCCCCAATTGGAGACATGACGAACAAATATTCACCCTTGGTTTACCATCTCCCTCTTGAATCAGCTGTGCCTGATGTATGTCTCGTAAATTTTATCATCATCACATAATATCAACTTATTTCTACCTTGCTTATTATCATCTCCGTTTTCCCTTTTGCTTTCACACTTCATTCTCCTCATACTGTCTGGACCACAAGATAGTGAAATTATTCGTTTAGTAAGTTCTTGTGACAATCGTCTCCCCCTAACATTTGAGTTCTCACTTCATTATTTCTATAATTGCTACCAACAGAATTCCCGTCAGATAATGTGATAACTGTTGGCTCTAGAAAACCTACTGACCTGAGACAGATCCAGTCACTTAAATTGCAAGTTTTTAAATTGTATATTTTGTGTTTAAACCCGAAAACTGTTGAGAGGCTGCCGCTCATTCACCATTACTAGAGATCTGATTAATAGTGAAGATATTATCTGTCATTAGGGTTGTTATTGTTATGTAACTGCTTAAGGCTGTATGATCTTTTACGTCTCCATCTCTATGCGAAATGCGATAGTTTGGACTAATTCAATAATATTGTTTCGCACTATCAATATCTTCCAATCTCAATCTACCAAGAATTGACAGTCTTCTGTCCAGTTTCATCCTCATATTTTGGACGAACCGTTAGCGGATATTATCAGCACTTTGGATCAGGTCTTACAACTACTAAATTGATTCAAAATTTTGTCTCACTGATTCACAGTGGGTATGTCTCCTAGTTAATCTGTGAACAAATGGGCCACATACCTCTGAGCCAACAGTCCCATCTCATAAAGCACTCCCTAGAACGCTCTGCGTCTCATAACGGATTTCGCCGACAAGTATTTTGTAAAATCAATTTAGCTAGTAAGACAACTGGGCTATAAACCAACTGGGTCGAATATAGAAGCTATATACAATAAAATGGTTCTCATCATATGGGTCGCCTTGAATTCACACGCTCTGAATTAGATCTTATCCATTCGAACATTCCACTCTACTCCTATTGTCCTTTCATTTTTTTCCGTAGATAAACAGATGTCTACATTTCTTCCTATTAGGTCTTCTGGAATAAACTTCATTAGTTCAATACTGTTGCTCGTCGACTTGGTCAGACTAAAACTTAAATGTAGGATTCCCTTCAACTGAGTGCATCACGATCCTGTGGTGGGACAATCACTTGATGAAACATAGCTCCAATATCTGCCGTGAGACCTATTGGCCGTCACTAAAATATAGTGAAGACATCTGCCAGATGATTGACTAAATCTGGTCCAGAATACAAGATTTTATTCAGCGATATATATTGCACTACGTTGTAGAATACGATTTTTATCTCATCAGATTTCTTCGGATATAAGAAAGGGTGGGGCAGCAAGTGCAAAATCCGGTACCTAATGCGATTCTCTGAAGCCTTTTCGGCGCAGCCTCGTTCAACATATTGCGTCCATACATTTAAATTTTCCTTCTGCAAACTTTTGTCACAGATGACCCGGTTCCCAAAAAAATTTAATCTACTCACTGCTAGTTCTGTATTATTAGGTAGGTTTTCTTAGTGACACCAGGGTAGAGCTATTTGGTAATGCCTGTTTAATACCTGCATAGATTTAGATATAGCGCCCAAGGTTTTAAGGCATTTAGATGTGTGCGCACGGTGAGTCGGGTCTATTTTAAACCTCACATATAATTCGTCTGATCTAGCTACTCCTCTATACTTAGACGATAGATAATTTGTGATACACACATATTTCGTGGTCTCACTGCAAGGACCAAACGACACCCACCCTAGAGGAGTTTTCATAGCATATGGCTCGTTAGATTTTTTATCTCTCTTTTCTGTTATCTCATGTAAATTGCAGTCTATCAGTACTTTGAAATCCTCATTGGGTTACTGAATAAAATGTACAGACACTTTTATGTATGTATCCATAGAACTCTAACCCTTAAAAAATTTATCTATTTCTTAGCCAATGAAATGCACTTGTCCATCAGGTCACTTCTGATTGCCACCGACTGACATTCTCATTAGGCTGCTTCTGATTGGCTTACTATATCAAAAGCTCCAAGCATTTTTGAAGAGACCTCCTGATGAGATGTCACCTGTACGGGAAAAATACTCTAGAATCGATTGACATCGAGAAAGATTTATGTGAAAAGGCATTCCTATAAAGGTTGAACTAACAAGTCTCAGCTCCATAACAAATTGGATACTAACTCATGATCCGCAAACTGTAGCCCGTAAGCATAAGGTAAGATTGTGGAAATCAGAGATGCGAGTTCAGATATATGTCGTAACAAACCTTACCAGAAGTTTAACACTAACTATGATATATGTGAAACAGATATTTACTAGCGTCTTCATCAGCCGCTAAGTATGATCAAACACCAGAGGGATCATATAATTGTTTATGTTGTGAGAAATATTCTTTTTACTACAGAAAGCAAAATAAACAAAATGTAATTAATTGGTGCTAATATTTACCAAATTAGTAAAACAATGGTGGAAAAAACATGGAAGCGTTTTTCTGATTGCGTAACATTATAATAACTATCACAGTTAACACCAGAAATTCAAGTTTTCAAAATATAATATGATAAAATTTTCAAAAGGGACAAAAACCAAAGAAGGCATAAATATAATAAATGAATTAACACAGTAACAAAGGAAATACACACATCACAGGTGTAACTAATGTGTAATTGGAGGAGAAAAATCCATATAAGCGAATACATTTTGCCACAATAATATGATGTTCAAGCGTACTTCTAGGCATCCGTGACTTGACCAGCCTTTTTCGATATTGTATCTGGATTACCGATTGGTCCAATATCAGAAAACAGATTTAACCAAGCATCTAGATTTGTGGGCTATTGTAAATTCAAAGTATAAACGAAAACAACACAGCGGTGAAAAGATATTAAAGAATCATAACTAATTATTACCGCAAGACGAATATTAGTAATAACAGTTAAACTGTAACGGTTGAGAAAATCATCAAAATTGACTAACCATATATTATTAAACGAAGCACTAGTCACTGATACCATATAACCATTAGATTTTAAGTAGGAAGATTGATTTCTTGCAAAGTGAACGCTCGACTTATTTAGTAAGAATAGGTCAGATCTGTATAAATTGGACAATAATAATTTAATGGCTTACTGTGTGAACACGTATTTACAATAATATACAGTTAAGCATCTCTAATCATTCTTAAAACGGCCGAGGGTGAGGAGAGATCGCTCTTCCAATTGAAATGCCCACATATGGCCACGTGTATACAGCCACGGCCGCGGTGTTGTTTACGAGACTGTCAATCAGCAGTCAACAAGCAAACTGAAATCGACCCAATCTATCAACCAATCCGGAAAGTTATGAACAAACATGGGACAAAAAATTAAACCAATCGGATATACAACCAAAACAGGGAAGTGAACAATGACAGGTTTAAGGTCAACAATAACCAATCAACATCGAGGTCCATAGGACAAATTGTGAACCATATGTGGAGAAATCCGAACACCACTTCTATCTGAAGTTTGTGCTGATGATGTCGTTCAGAAGAATGATGAAAGCTCTATGACTAAACTATCCAGCTCAGAGAACAAGACTCCATCAAAATCTGGTGTTGATTGAGTCTAGTATCTATATATTAGTATAGAGTATTGATGAGGAAGCAATTAGAAAGAAATACTTCTTAATTCAACTTGTGTTTTGAATATACACAGATGTCATCTTTCACCTTCAGTTGGACAAAAACTGGGGCAAGATAAATGTCATTTCGCCAAAAAGCTAATGAGTAAATAAGCTACTCGAAAAAGACATGTAATCAGTAGGTACCAAACAACAAAAGACTATTTGATATTATCCGACCACCGATTTGGATTTCCAAACGCAGAACATTATTTTAAGTATGGTATGGATTCAGCTATGAGATAGTGAAAGTTTGTAAGGACGAGTGACAATTATCAGTTTGCCAAAGCAAACTAGATAGAACGGGGTTCTAAACCACGATATTTAACTACAAACTTAATGTTTTAACTACGAAGGAGCCAATCCAGTTACACAAAAAAACATGGGCACAGTTACCTGTTGGGATGATAATGACTTTGGGGCATTTGAAATGGTACCCAGAGAGTTTTCACTTTTTTTTAACTGTTGTTCGGATTGGTTGTTATTATTACTAAATGCAGAAGTATTCACGTTAGTACACTCCAAAGATGACTTCATCGATTGAGTACCAATTAAATTAGAAGTGCCTGGGTTGAATAAATTTTGGAATTCCTGTTCTAATAAGTGTGAAGGAAGTATTGATGTCCTGAATGTATCCTAATCATATCAAAAGTGGCGAAAATAGAAGCATATACAGTTCGAATGAATTCAGTTAGATTCAATGAATGTTAAAGTGACTAACTTAAATAATACATCAGACACCCACTTGTTAAAGGGGATTTTTCAACAAGGAATGGTATCAGAGTTAAAAAAAAACATTATAAATCAAGATACATCGTGACACCTACTTTATTTAGGAGTCGTTATTCGTTATGCCTATACAAGGTTTGACACTTTTATCATCTACCTAGTTAAAGTCACGTTACTGATTCATAAGGAGAATATGACGAAAACTAATTTGAAACATGTCATTATCAGGTACTTCATGTTACTTTGCAGGGAGCATGGTTTGGTTCCTCTAATTACGACCCAGCTACTCTTATTGCTTAGCATTCTTTGGACGCTTTATTTTACTCGAAAAATCCCCAAATCCGAACACGAATGAACAGGAACGTGATAATGTTACAAATAAGCAAAGTTGAATGGAAATAGGAATCACAATAAGAAAAACATTAGTAATATTTATAATTTTACACAAGGAGATTCTAGAGTCTTTCCAAAGTATCTGCTACTACTGATTGGTTAAGAAACAATTGATCAGCATGCACCAACACAAACCTCCACGGAATATGTTTTAATCCAATCTATCCCCCTAACAAAGCAACTATTTTCATTCGTTTTCAGTTGGAAATAAAATTACTTTTCAAATTAAAGAAAGACATTGGATTCTCTTAAATCAAATAACTAGTGTTAACAAAAAACTCTTCGTGATGCTGAACATAATATCGACCAAGCTAATGAATTATTAACAAAGTAGACTATAAATAAATAATATATTTGTAATATCCCAATGAGTAGAAACTTAGATTTTCTGACGTTTCGTGATATAGTGAAAGTCACTTCTTCAAAGAATAAATAACCAAATTAAAATTAATCCAAGTTTAAATTGTCCCGCTGTACTATTTAAACTTGGATTAATTCTAATTTGGTTATTTATTCTCTGAAGAAGTGACTTTCACTATATCACGAAACGTCAGAAAATCTAAGTTTCTACTTATTGGGATATTACAAATATATTATTTATTTATTTATAACAATCTACCCAATGCTCAATTTATTCGAAATTATCAAATCAAACCTTGGTAATGATACCTACAAAGTAGACTATCGTATGAAGAAGTTGAACAATATTTCACTTACTTTTGACCCTACACTCTGCAACGGTCCGAAATCAGCGTTTTGGCAAGGCTGATTCAAATCGCTAAAGACAGCTTCCGAATCATTAGTGAATCCGTCTTTATTTCCGAAATTGAAAGGACCTTTATTACAAGCAAAAAAAGAATTAAAAATTTTTAGAGTATTTTGAAGATTTATGTATTGTGTTAGGAAACAAATCATAGGTTTTCTGGAAAGATCAAATCCTTACGAAGGCTTGTAATGATCCTCAATTTACCAAGCTGGGATTGAATGAATATCTTAAACTCATTTTTAGTAGTTCAAAGGCGAGATTGTTCAAGTTACTGGATTTTAATGTCTTTTTAATTTCGCAATGTTTCATGTTGTTCAGTATCCGGACAAAAGTTACTGAGACTGAATGGTCAATTTTAGTCCCCGAGTGGCACTACTTATATCTGGTACCCTTAATAAAATGGGATATTTAACTTCTATCAACAACTAATACCATTTTAATGTTATCAAAATCTGTAAACCACCAGTTACAAAAGTAAGCGCACACGTTGATGATTAGGTTGATAAAACTCGAAAACATGTTTTCCTGAGTTGCAGGAGATAAGGATAATAATATGATATTCAATAACCTCGATCTAACTCATCTAATAAGTTATAACATATTCGTAACTTATATAATAATAGTAAATTGATAGAACCTGTGGGTTTGTTAATCTCGATCGATGAGAGTGAATCAAACAATAATATCTGGGTTAAACGCCCACCACTTCAGACTCATTTAGTCCCAGACTGGCTATTATTATGACCAGTCATGAGATTGCACCGGTAGTATAAACATAACCCTTGTTATTGGTTGATTTTATTGTGTCCCTGCTACTGTTTGGTATGCGCGTGTTTATTGTTCTCTTTGTAATCGGCTACTACTTTTTGTTTTTTGTGCTAAATGTATTCATCTACATCTTAGAAACAGATCGTAAGTGTTGATTATACACATAGTTATCTGTTTTGACTATATCCCTGCCAAGTTTGTATGAGACAGCATAGGGACATATTCAAGAAATTCATCCGTGGGTAAAGATTAAATCTCATAGTGTGAAACATTTCTCTGTGTTAATGTGGTATGTTCAACGCGAATTTGTGCCAGTTTCTACGTTGATTACGATTGAATGGATGACCCATTATACCCTTCATTGTTACGATAACCTGAGTAACCAAATGATATATCATCAATGTTGGAGAAACTAAACTTTCAAAAAACGTTTTTGGACACATATCAATTTCCAAATCCATATATTAATTGAAAATGAATTCGATTCATGAACTTTTAGTGCTATTGCATTTGTATAGACTGAGTCCTCATGAAATCAGTTTGTGGTCTGTCATTATATTAATTAATTTATATGTATTTTGCATTCAAGTAATGACTTGATTGACAATTATTGAAATTAACCAGCATATTCAATCGAAGTAGATGTAGTTCAAGATTTACATCCAAGTTAATTCAGTTATATATCAAAATCCAATGAACACTACATACCGAGTTTTATCAACTGTGTAATTAATTGTCTTTGAAAACAAAATCACAGTAAAATAACCGATACAAGGAAAATAAAGTGAAAATCAAATGACAAATTACAACTGAACCACATTGAAAGTTAATGAATAGAATTCCTTATGAATGATCTAATACAACAAAATGCTTGGAGTTGACTGGACGAAAACCACCCTTAATCGATATACGAAATTAAAATTGATCTTCCGCATACGTCGTAATTAGGAACGCATAGTATCACTGAAAGTACGGTATTGATGATGCAATTAAAGTTATAGAATCATCTTCCGCCTCGTAAGAGGAAGACATCTTCAAGTTTAAAAAACAGTACTCTACTTGTTCACACAGTAAAGGCATAAATGGACACTTTAGGAAATAAAAAAATCTGTCTCATTACCATAAAACACTTACGAGTATCCACTCCAGAAAGGTGTCCAGCAAATCTATCATCTTTTGCATCACTAAGAAACAGATCAGTGAACAAATCTCTATGATCAGCAGGGACTTGCTCACTAGATTCATTAATCAGACCTAAAATTGTTAAACCGAACATCATCAGTCCCTAAAACATTATGGCAAAGTAGAAGCGAAAATGGGCAAAACGTATACAAGGTAGTTGAAGCATATATTCATAATAGTTATTACGCATACAACTAGAGTAACTATTTGAATGATGAAACAGCATGTAGGAAAAAATTAATTAAATGACGAACAGATGAACAGTTGTAAGCGACACAGAACCTGGCACATGTATGCATTCATCCAAATTGGTACTCCGTATTAGTAAAGTGGTATTTATTTAGTTATTTAAACACATTAACATTAGTACACGGAGACACAAAATAGAAATGCAACACACAAATCACTCAATTTATGTGAGGTCTGGGATACTGCTTAAGTGCCACTCCCTGGGCCTTTGACCGTAAGGTCTAATCCACGAGGTAGTGGAGTAACGTAAGGAGATAGTCTTATGGTTGCCGATGACCAACAATAGGCTAATACGCCATTTGTTCATTTAGGATCCTGGAGCCCATGTGCACCATTGGTTTGAAATCAGGGTTTTTCAACTCTCCTAGGTGGACTCGTCGTGTCTACCAACCCGGTTAAAGTGCCGGACATTCGCTTTTCGTCCTCCCAATTTCGTAAACAACACCGGTGCCACGACAAGAGTTATAATTTGTCGTTTGAATGCTTATTGTCTTGGCTCTTTCGATGCTACTTTTTGTATCTGATCGTCGCTGATTGTTATTGTCGGAAACGCTTATCACTTATACTCGGAACGAGGGACCTCTGCAACTCCCACGATGCGAAAGTAAGAACACAAAGACTGGTATAAGTGATGATTTATTAACCCAAAGCACTATGACGACGACAACGACTCTAGTAGAAAATACACTCATTTATATATTGATTGTACACCCATTTTGATTAATAATTACGATGAACTCACATTTATGAAAAATACTTAGAGTTATAAAATATCACAGACTGAGCATAGTTCATGTCAATGGAATACAAGAATATCGCATATTATACAGTATAAAATATCATACGAGACAATAAAACAACTACTACATTGAGTAATCATTACATTGAATCAAAACGGAAGTAATGTTGAACAAAACTGATAACGAGTAAATCAGTCGAAAATTGACTTTTCTTTCCATCATATCAATAAAGCAGTGAGTAGGACTTTCCTGCCAGTGGTTGTATGCACGTGGCGATGTGAGAGCATTTCGAGATATGAAATTGAGACAAATCCCAGAATAGTAGGAGTAGTAACAAAACCAGTTGCATTAAGAAACATTGGGCGTAAGCAATATAACTCGAGAAGGAAGGCTATCCTTAGCCTCATTTCGAAATATTTCTACACCATCAACCATTGACAGTCATAGTGGGGGATGGTTGGACGTATGTAATACATAACCCAACCACACAAGACGATGAACGTTCATAGCCTTATCTCATAGCTTATCATTAAAACATCAAATTTTACAAAAAATACGTTTTACTGACATTGAGAAGCGTTTGAACAACTTTACAAAAACATAGTACTAAAAATTAACCTTACCACCAATGTTATTGTTGTCTTCAGTTCCACCAAAACTGGTTTGATTCCTTGATGATTTAAATTGATCTGAATCAAAGTCGAAATTATTACAATGATTTTCTAGGAAAATTTCATCTAATCTTTTATCAAATTCTTCTTCATCTGTTAATTTTGTTTGATGTATTCCATGGTTATTGTCATCAGAATTCATAATTGCTGGATCATTTAATCCAACTTGGTTAAATCCACTGTCTAACCTGTATTTTAAAAATTAAAAAGTGAATAAGTATGAATATATTTTTAGTAGAAGACACTGAACACTCCTAAACTATGGACAAACAAACCAAACTACTTAACATTGACTGCTAAGCAAATCTAAATGAAACAAATCTTATGGTGCATTAACTGATGATGAGGTGATTAAGTAATCCACTCTGGTCCCCGAAAAAGTTAATTAACTTCGCTGTATTGAAGTCTGTTTAATTTAACTAATAATCTGATACCAATAATATACCGCAGTACATATCGTCACATTAGAGGGAATTGTAGTTGACTTGACTATTATCAACATTTCCACAAATTGTCACTAAGTACGACCTAATTTATGTGCATTTGAGCCACAATATTTGTGTGAGGTGTGCGGATAATACTCGGCTACTTAAGTTAAAAAAAATGAAGTGTACAACCAATTAGTTGAAGCTGTGTTGTGTGAACACACTAAGCCGCTACTGATTTGCATAAGTTCATCATTTTGGCCAATAACATATTTTTCGCATACTTAAAAAGTTAAGGGATAAATGAATTTTTTTCTCCTCTACATTGTGAAACGTGAATCCATAGTAAGAGATAAAATATATACGAAAAATCATGATGTTTGTATGTTACATGAATATTTAGCTGAATTAGTTTTCGTACTTTCATCAATAATTATATATTAGAAGGGATTTTTGTGAATATTATAGTAATCTGAATAGTTGAGATAATTATTCCAATCATGAGACTGATAGCTGCTGGGTTTGAATCTCGCGAAGCGGGATCGTGGATGCGCACTGCTGAGGAGTCCCACAATAGGACGAAATGGCCGTCTAGTGCTTCCAGGCTTTCCATGGTGGTCTAGCTTCAATTGACTCATGATCTCAACTATTGAAACCATACATTAGTTCATTAATATATGACAGATACACAGCATTCTTAAACTCATTTACCATGTACAGATTTATGTATTTGGTCACACTCTAAGTGCAGGGGTTAGTGATATCACCCAGTTGCCCAAACCAAACCAGGTGGGTAGGGGTTCGAACCCGTAACTTTGTGCTTGAAACTCAAACGTCTTAATCGCCGAACCATCTTTCTGCTGCTCAATATTGGAAACTTACTAATAAATACCTAATTATACCGCCCCCAAATGCCCTGGTACGGCCGAGAGTGGGGAGAGTCCGCTCTCCCTCTCGAAATGCTCTCACACGGCCACGCGTATATAGCCTCTGCCAGGGAAGTCCTACTCACTGCCTTCTCGTGGCGGGGGTGTTGTTTACGAAAATGAGAGGACGAAAAGCGAATGTCCAGCGCTTTAACCGGATTCAAAACCAATGGTGCACATGGGCTCCAGTATCCTGCGGGAACAAATGGCGTATGAACCAATTGCTGGTCACCGGCTTCCATGGGACTGCATCTCCTTACGATGCTCCACTGCCTTGTGGATCAGACCATTAGGTCAAAGGCTCGGGGTGTGGCCCCCTAAGAAAACCACCTGCTTCGGTCTGGGCACCCGGGCAGTATCATAGCCCTCACACATCGAATGAGATTTGTGTGGCGCACATGTATTTGGTGCTTCTTTGTACCATTATCTATGTGTTGAAATAAAAAAACCTAATTATACCAAACTATTCCTACATACTTCGTACTGAAAGAAAATTAATGATGTACTAAATGACCGGATATCAATCATAAAATGAATATCCTATCGACAACACGAATTTAACGTTTGCATCAGAAATCAGACAGAATCACACTACCCCAGTATATGGAATATTTGAGGTTAAGTTGATTGTGAATAAAAATCAGTTTTGAATAGAATCAGAATAATTCTTCTGAAAACAAAGTGAAAGATTTCAGCCATGTCATTATAAATAAAAAGCACCGATGATAAGCCCGTAAGTGCAATATGACGCTTTGTCTGAATTGAACATCAAAATGAGGAAAAATGTGACAACTGAGAGCAAAACTCTTCAACTCAAACAAGAACCTTGAATAAATACAAAAATTCTTTCACCAAATAAATTGCAAGTATCTGAAACCTGGAAAGTTCAAGGAAATTTTTCAGGATCGTCATGTCAATAGGCAAACTTAAAGCCAAACAGAGACACACGCACACACATTTACCAAGTCACGGTTTTTTGTCTCTCTGTGGAATCATCACATTTTAAAGCTTCATATCCACTAGGGATGCATGAATGAATTGAAGATAATATACACGAGGTTTTGCAGTTTCTCAAAGATTGATTATGAGTATATCCCGCATCACTAGATGAAGAAGAACTACATTCACTTCCCTCATTATCACCTCCCTTTTTTTTTGCTTTCACATTACCATTTTCGCTGGTTTGTAACGAAAACAAAAAAAATTACAAAAATTAATATTAAAACTAAAAGTGCTTCTATCCAAGATACTCTGAGCGTTAAGGGTATAAACAAATGGTACAAAATGTATTTATAATTAGAGAAATTAAAGTTTGCGGCATTTGGTTCCATCCTCTAGTGACAACTGAGATGTAATACTGACAAAAATCGTCAGAAGCAGCTAAAAATTACTTGTGTTCATTTTGCTTTGGTCTCCAGTTGATAATAACTGGGGCAAGAAGTAAAACTGGTAGAAAAAAATCGTATTCGTGGATAACCCTATCTAGCGCCTAGTTTAGATAAATAACTGGAGCGATTCATAGTGCAGTTCATAATATTTAAGTTCGTGATTCGTGAGAAATTTCTATTTACTTATAGACAGTTATTATTACTTAATGATATTTAGTGAAGGAGCAAGAAAACCCAGAGAGATCTAAATAATTGTTTAACCATAGTTTGGAACCTTTAGAGCGCTTGTGAAATTGAACCACAACTGCTAATATTGAGACGGAAGGTCTGTAGCTCATAATTTGAATATTTTAGCTATTATAAATGAATGACAGTAAACCCATATGCAAACAAATTTAGAGGACAATGACAATGACATGAACCAGTGCCTCCACATAAAAGGTCACGGTTAACTAATGTATTCACCGCAAAATTCGAGGGTTTGATCAAAAGTCAAATCTCTTTCAGACCAACAGAACTATTACATGGATGATACATCAGAATAATGGGATCTCATGGTGAACACATTAGGTTTGATCTGTTGTGTCGAAATACAATTACTAGTTCGTATCACCATAATTATGCTCCAAAGTTGTTCGCATATATATATATATATATATATATATATATATATATATATATATATATATATATATATATATATATCGTGGAAGAAATGTACCACTTAGACCACTTGTTTGGCAGTCATACGTAAGTTATGAATAACTGCATCAGATATATACATGTTTTATTACCTATAAATTAAAATAACGAAAAATTACCTATCGCTGTCTTTCTCATCATCGCTCTTATATCCAGCCAATTTACGACTTTCTGGTCTCAAATGCCGAAGAATTGAAAATTCATAGTATTGGTAACCTCTGAAACTTTCTGCTACTGCTACCATCATACTAGTGATAAGAACATTTTGAAAAAGGTATTTTGCTTTGGTTTGAAAATAGTATTTAAATGTAAAAGTAGAAATAGTATTTGTATAGAAACTATTTTCAACTTGGCTGTCGGCATACACATAAAAGTACATTTTACTCACTCGTGAACCTGCGATGAAAAAGTAACCCTGTTTATAAAAATAATAGTATGTATAGTTTATTATCGCTACGCTGTGATACACGAGATGGTTCAGTCGTGAACCAGGTTGCCTCAAAAGTTGTTAAAAGTGTGTGGGTGGATTTCATTTGCCTAGGACTCAGTATCTAAGTGGATACCGCGATGGCGTTTGAAGCGAACGATACTGAGTTCAAGTCCCGGAGTGGACATCAACTCTGGGATGTAGGAACATCCAGACGACGGGACCCAAATAGGATGAAACGTGAGTTCTGGATTCCACTGCTAGCCACCGTCCTAGCCCCCAAATGCCCTGGTACGTCCGAGAGTGGGATGGGCCCGCCCACCCTCTCGAAATGCTCTCACACAGCCACGCGTATACAACCACTCCCAGGGAAGTCCTACTCACTGCTTTATCGCGGCGGGAAGTGTCAGAAGGACGAAAAGCGAATATTCGGAGCTTTAGCCAGGTCGGTAGACACAGAGAGTTGGGAAACCCTGATTCCAAACCAATGGTGCACATGGGCTCCAGGATACTAAGGGAACAAATGGTGTATGAACCAATTGTTGGTCACCGGCTACCATGGGACTGCATCTTCTGACGTTGCTCCACTGCCTTGCGGATTAAACCTTTAGGTCAAAGGCTCGGGGTGTGGCCCCTTATGAAAACCACCTCTTCCGGTCTAGGAACCCGGGCAGTATCACAGCCCACACACAATTACAATGAAAATGATGATATTTACTGAAATTCTATTCTCGCTTCGACTTACAGTCGAACAACTCACATTATTACTATTTACTACGTCATTTATTCACTCTCGTTTATTCCCACTTGATATATCCTTATTTTTCGACTTGTACAGCAGCCCGCCTATGGTGGAAACTCTGTTCTATCTAAACGATCTTGATTCACTGCCTGGTCGAAACTTGAATGCTTCCACCGAATAAGAATACTGAAACAATTTTTCTGAAACCACGTGCACCATTCAAACTGGCTGCTTTCAACGTTCGCACACTTATGCAGGTCGGACAACAGATAGGGCTGGCTATGTCTTTAGAAAGTCTTAGTATCGACGTTTGATGTCTATTCGATACCCGTATTCAAGACTGGTGAAGTACTACAAATTCACTCTCCATCTGTCGCTTCAAAAGGCTTGTCTTACGTGCGCTTATCCAGAGATCCTGTGGCATCTTCGTCTGGTCTCGCTGGCGTTGGCGTCCCACTAAGCGCTAGAGCTGAGGGAGAACTAATCGATTGGATCCCCATTAACAGTCGGTTATGTGTTGTTAGATTAGAAAGTTCCATCAAAGTGAGAAATCGGCGTGAGAAACGATGTCTTTCTGTCATCTCCGCGTTTGCCCCGACAGATTGCAGCCCGGATGCAATCAAGGATGAGTTTTACCACCAATTGTCTGTTCTTCTCCAGAAAGTGCGTTCAACAGATATTGTAGTACTAGCCTGAGACTTGAATGCTCAGGTCGGACGTCTAGGCACAGAAGAGAGTCGTTTAGGTCGCCGATGGGGACTCGTTGGTCGCAGGTCAGATAACAGGGATTGTCTACTGCAAGTGTGCACAGACCATAATCTGTTTCTGGTTAGCACTAACCTTCGGCACAGTCATCGCCGATGTGCCACCTGGCGTCCCCCCTCTGCATCTCAAGCCTGGACTCAGATTGATCACATCGCGACCAGCTACCGCTGGCGTGGTTGTGTACAAGACTGCCGCTCCTTTTGCAGTACCTATCTGGACTCTGATCATGCCTTGGTCTGCGCCAATCTTGCCTTACTTTTCAGTGGACAACGAAGTGAACGCCATCAACGGATTGATGTTAGCAAGCTGGTTGCAACTTCTGTTGCAAGTAAGTATCGAACCGAGCTAGCCTCTAGGCTAGCTACCACTCCACCGAAAAGTCTAGATGAGCATTGGTTGCAATTGCATGACGCCATGAAAATGGCGAGTACAGTCAGCTGTGAGATCGCGAAACGCCCCGCTTATAAGCACTGGGTTTCTGCAGGTTCCTTATAACTCATTGAAGCCCGTCGGTCTACTCCGGGTGACCGTGAGTTTGACCACAAACGAAGGATGTTACGTAATGAGATTGGGCAAAGCTTGTGTAAGGACCGAGAAGCCTGGTGGTCGGAGCGTGCTAATGAGTTGGAAGCAGCAGCTGCATCTGGTAACTATCGGAAGCTCTTCCAGCTCATCCGAGCCACTGGCAGCAAGAAGTCTGGTGTGAGCTAAACAATCTGTGAGGATGACGGGATCCCAATCACTAACATCCATCGACGTCTTGGACGATGGGAAGAATTCTTCGAAGGGCACTTCAACTGGCCCGCTGCCTCGGAAACATCGATGACTCATGGAATAAGTCGATAGTTGTCCCTATCTTTAAAAAGGTTTCACGTCGTTCCTGTAACAACTATCGAGGGATAAGTCTACTTCCGATTGCGTCCAAGCTATTGGCTTCCGTCATACTTCGTAGGTTGTTCACAACCCGGGGAAGATTGACTCGCGAGGAGCAGGCTGGGTTTCGTTCTGGTCGAGGATGTATTGATCATATCTTCACCCTCCGCCAAATGTTAGAACACCGTCAAACTTATCAAAGGCCAACAATCGTAGTGTTTCATGACATCAGGGCTGCTTTCGATTCGTTGGACGGGATTGTTTTCTGGGATTGTCTATTGAAGAAGGATGTGCCTGAGAAGTTTATTAACATCCTAAAAGCCCTATATACAAACACCTCAGGTAGAGTGAGGGCATAAAACCACCTTCCTCCATTGTTCCATTCAAGCAGTGGGGTTAGACAGGGTTGCCCAATCTCACCATTCCTCTTCAACTTTGCCATCGACGACATTCTGGAAACAGCTCTGATGGATGTAAGTAATGGTGGTGTGGATCTTATGCCTGGAGAAAGACTTCTCGACCTTGAGTATGCGGATGATATTGTCTTACTGTGCGATAATGCCCAAGCCATGAAATCCGCACTTAATCAGTTGGCAATCTTTGTCCGTAGGTACGGTATGTGCTTTGCACCTTCGAAGTGCAAAGTACTTCTACAAGACTGGCAAAACTCTAATCCTGTACTCACTCTGGATGGAAAGCAGATAGAAGTGGTCGAGAAGTTCGTGTATCTGGGTAGCTGCATAAGTGCTGGTGGAGGTGTGAGTGATGAGATCAATGCACGTATACTGAAAGCCAGAGCGGCTTATGCCAATATGGGTCATCTTTGGCGCCTTTGTGATGTCAGCCTGACTGTAAAGGGTCAGATCTACAACACGTCGGTGAGAGCAGTTTTGTTCTATATTTATGAGGATGTCAGACGACCCTCTGTGTTCGATCATCGCTGTCTCCGAAGGAATGCTGACATTCAGTGGCAACACCATGTTAGTAATGCAGAGGTTCGGCATCATGTGTTCGGGCACAGAGATGATAATGCAATTGGTGTCACCATCTTGAAACACCGACTTCGGTGGCTTGGACATGTTCTACGAATGTCGTCCCTGGGAATTCCACGTCGTACATTATTTGCCGACTCTGGGACTGGTTGGAAACAGGGGAGAGGTGGTCAGTGTATGACAAGGTGTCGTGGTATGAAAGAAAGCTGCAAAGGGCTGGCTTCTGTCGGTCCTTCACGACTCCGTGGCTGAGGTCCGAGAGATGGTGCAACACAGTGACTAGAGACGTTATCAGATATGGTTCAGAATAGAAGCCAGTGATCCTGCTGTAACTTTCTTTTACTTTCTTCATAAAAATAGGGTTGTTTCTTCCTTAACTGAAAGATTTCTTCTGGTTGAACCTTCCCATTTCCCCATTATTATTACTATCATTATTATTGTAATTATTATTAAACTACCTTACACTAATGTGGTCGTTAATGTTCTTTTTTTTCTCTTCCCATTCTCATTTTTTGTGTGACGCATAAATATTTTGTGCCCTCTTGTACCAATATTTGTGTTCAAATAAGTAAATAAATAATTCATTTGCCAGTCACCTACACCTTGGAAGGATACTTTATGGAGTAACTGAAAATGGAAGTGAATCAGTAGAAGTATTGGCGAATCGGGAAGTGGACACAGAGCCTAGAAAACAACCACTTGACACCAATCACACGTTCCTTTTGTGGGAAGTTCTTGATGTATTACCTCCATACCCTAAAGGCCTTATCACTGGTGACAAAAATCTGTAGGTGTCCTGTTTTTAGGACTAGCCTCGTCTAACATCTCTTTCAGTTGTAGGAAGGTATTATTGCTGTAGGTGTTGGTTCTTTGGGGGAAACAGCATACTGCCGTCACAGCCCTGTACAGTCAGTAGTGTGACCCCACCCTCAGATCTTAAGTTTGTGCTTTTAACTTCATTGTTCTCTAACTGATCTGCCCACCACGGTAGGACCTAAAAGAAAGTGTTCTAGCTAATATAGATCGATTGGGTCATTACGACAGCTGAGTCTGGCAACCACGTGAAGGCAACAGGTACGGATGGGCGAGGTTGATAACGTAAAGATTATGTGCTTATGGTGGTGAGGTTACAGCTGAGTTGTAAAATATGTTTGAAGCAACTATTATATACAGTTAACGACACTCATTTTCAAAGTGAGACGAAGGGAGCTGAAATGGCATGAAATCGTTATTTGTTGATACGAGTTATATTTCACATATTCTAGTATCTCTTTCAAGAACATTACTATAGTAAACAAAAGATCTTGAGTTAAACCGCTGAACTGAACTAAATGTATCTAATGGAGTTACAGCCTTCTGATTATGGTCATTTATTCTTAAAACTACATACACAAAATTAATGAGAACCCAAAAGTATCCAATTGCAAAGAATTTTTTGGGGGTATAAGGACATAAAACCCATCCAGGTACTTGAAAATCATATATGTGTCAGGAGTAGAACTAGCGAGTTGGAGGATCATCTAGAACAGAAAATTTGTTGAATAGCATGGAACAACATACGCACATAATGAAGTTTAAGGTAACGCAATCAGGTATTTTTCTGGAATTACTTTCAAGATAAAAGATATGCCACGTAGTATTCTCAAATTTTGTGTAAATTCCATTTAACCAAGAATTCTGAACTCAGAAAGAGCTTCACGTCCACTTATTAAGAAAAAATAAAACTTACTGAGACGTTTTTTCAAGAAAAGTCAACAAAGTATTCTGATAGCCGACAAGTACATGACTCAGCATATTACATCGACTGGCTGCTAACAGATCTATTTTTTGCATACTGTCCACTTTTAGGCGATCGAATGATGCTTTTGCTTTACGAACCTAAATGATGAAAATGATGAACAATGGGCTTATTATCGATAAGCTTAAAAAGTAAACAACTTAAAGAAGAATAAAATCAATAAGAACATCGTTGGTTTATATTAAATAGGGACTGATTTACCTGAATTTCCGATCACTAAGTCTAACACAAAAGGATATTGGCTCATAGGAAGCGTGACTTCCTTTTATGTTACGGGTTAGGTTTAATCGGTTAGTGCTGATAAGTAAGAAATATTGACTCACAACTACCTTCAACATAGTACACAATGATATCGAGTTACTTGGGTTACTGGCTATATCACATTTTTTAACTGACCACTACAACGCGATATAACAGTGTGAATGTGTTTACAACTTGATGAACCTTTTGAGTGCTATTAAATCTTTTGGAGTTTCTAATAAGTTGTTTTGTAATGGTGGAGTAGATTTGTGACTCATGTAGATGATTTATGTGGAGTTTTGTTCTCTGAGCTGGATGGTTTGGTCGTGGAGCTTTCATCGTTACTCTGAACGACATCATCAGCACAAACTTCAAGTAGAAGTGGTGTTCAAATTTTTCCACATATGACTCACAGCTTATCCTGTCGACCTCGATGTTGATTGGTTATTGTTGACCTTTAACCTGCCATTGTCTTCTTTATTTTGATTGTGTCCCCCATTGATTTGATTCTTGGTCCCATATCTGTTCATGATTTTTCTGACTGGTTGATAAATTGGATCGATTTCAATGTGTTTGTTGACTACTGATTGACTTGAGTGACTAGCTTCTAAAAATTCTCCGGTGCTTTTAGTATTTTCTATCCAAGATCTCAACATTTTCCCAGTCGATTATATTCACGGTTGTCCACATGAATTGATATAAGCGAGTTGACCACTAAATGATATCCGTGTAGACGAAGATGAGGACGACGTCCACTTTGTCCGATGTAGTGTTTTTCGCAGTTAGAACAATTTATTTTGTAGATGATATCCGGTTTGTATTCTATTGTCATTTCGTCGTTTGGTTGAATAAAGAATAAAAGCCGAAAATCATCTACCATCTAAACTGTTCCAACTATGAAAAACACTAAACTGGACAAAGTGGTAGGCTGACGAATTTCAGAAATATTGTTTTTCGTATACACCACTGACATACTACACAACGTGCTAAACATAAAATAAACTGGACAGATATAAGGAAGATATATATCACAATTTCTGGCTCAGAGTAGATAATGGTAATGATCATCTTTAATTACTGAGCAGAAAAAACGACTATATGGCGAGACGAAAAGCTAAATTGTATTAAATCTAATATTCTGATAATTACACTGGTGAGTAAAACTGATGATGGAGCTTTTGTTATTTATCCAACAACTAATGTAATAACAAATCCTAATGACAAGGAAATTTGATTAATTATATAGTATTCATAACTGCTGTGATAATCGAAAATTTTGAACGACTAGGAATAGATTAGGGAAGGTATCAATGACTTTATCCGTGAGAAGAAATAGTAATATGAATAAGTATTAGTACAATAAAGAAAAGGGAATGTATAGGAAAAATCCTTCGAAGAGTTGGATGAAGATACAACAGGAAATCATTCCGAAACTCAATATGAACCATCCCTGAAGTTTGAGGAACTAGGTACCTGTTTCGGAGTGGGGGTCCGGGCAGTGTCCTACCACATACAAAAATATGATAATGGACAGTTATGGAAATGTCCTGTTCGTTATGCCTATTTGTCTAATCACGTAATATGCAGTTTATTAGGAATGAATTTATTTCACATTGTTTCAACTCCCTGTCTCCCCATATTTCTGTTCTGTTTACTTCTATACTTCGACTTAACTAGTAGTTCATCCTTGTCGAAAGTCCTGTCTTATCTAAACTATCACAAACTGATGAACAGTCGATCTTATGGATTATATCAGGATATACAAACTCTGACACAGCTTTCTGAAGCTACGAGCCTAAATTAGAACTATCGCCGACTTTCGTGCTTGGATGCAAGTCGGACAACAGACAGGTTGATCCATCATTGGAAAAGCTTACTATTGACGTATACTATGAGTCTGAGGCTCACATTCAAGATCGGTGATGCCAGAAACTCCTCTCCTGTAAATGAATTTGAAATGTTTGTTCCATATCCCTCTAACCTGGAGACCTTGTAGCACTACCGTCCAGTGTCGCACTGAACGCCAGAGAAGAGGCAGCGCTAGTCGACTGAACCCCTGATAACAATCGTTTATGTACCGTTAGGTCAGAAGGCTGCATTGGAGTGAGAAATCGATGGAAAAACGGAGTACCTCTCCCTGCTCCCCAAATCCCCTGGTACAGCCGAGGGTGAGGAGAGTTCGCTCACTCCCTCGGAATGCTTTCACATGACCACGCGTATACAACCACTCCCAGGGAAGTCCTACTCACTGCCTTATCGCGGCGAGGAGTGTTGTTTACGAAATTGAGAGGACGAAAAGCGAATATTCAGAGCTTTAACCGAGTTGATAGACATGGAGAGTCCTCCTAAAGGAGTTGGAAAACCACGATTCCAAACCAATGGTGCACATGAGCCCCAGTATCCTGAGGGAACAAATGGCGTATGAACCAATAGTTGGTCACTGGCTACCATGGGACTGCATCTTCCGACGTTGCTCCACTGCCTTGTGGATCCTACCTTTAGGCCGAATGCTCTGGTTGTAACTCCCTAAGAAAGCCACCTGCTTCGGTTTGGACACCCGAGTAGTGTCGCAGCCCTCACGCAAATCAAATGAGATTTGTGTGGCGCATATGTATTTGGTGCCTCCTTGTACCAATGTTTGTGCTTAAATAAATAAATAAAAATGTCCATATTAAACAATTCAACGACTGTTTTATTAACCATTATCATTTTTGCCCAATTATCTGATAAAATCTGACTAAATCAAGTCAACGTTTAAATGGTGCATACCGAATTATTCAGAATATCTATATATGAATTACCTGTGCTTGAACGCACCGAAACTTCTCCAATTGTTTGTATGTATCTGGGTCCAACTCTTCGCTTACGTTTTTCATCCATAACAATGCACCTCGATATTCTGTGCGACCTTGTTCCATAATTTTAACTGTATTTGTTGTATCACTGATTGCCTGTTGTCTGAATGTTTTGACTTCTTGATGAACACGATCAAGTGGACTGAGTAAAGTAAGTCTATTTAAAGCAAAAATTCAGAAAACGATACAGATTGGCAAAAACAAGAATCACGACTCCAATGTGGTGTACACGTTTATATGGAAACAGATATAGACTCGATTTGCTTCACTGTACATCTAAATGGACGTACAGACAACCACATATGTGTTTCTTCACAGCACATTATTTTGCTAGAAGTAACGGATCACATCCCTTTCTTATTACATTGTCTCAGGGTTGCCCTGATGCTCGTGGTTATGTAACAAGGGTGCTAAACAATAACAGTACGTCAATCATAATGTTGTGTACTCAGGCAATCGTAAGTTGGTTGGTTAGATGTAATGATTAATGAAGCCGTAGTGAGTCCAAATGCGTATAACAGAAAAAATGCAGTTTTACCTTTGTTGTGCTGAGCTACTTAACGCCTTTCCGACAGCAGACATAATCTTCCCAGCTTGTGTTCTATCTTCTAAACTATATTGTTTTAGAAATCTTCCCATTTCATTTTCAGCCTGAGACAGATCTGAACAGTCGTCAGGGTAATAATGAAAACTTACAGCACAACGTTCTCTGATAACGTGCCAACACATTGTCAAGATCTCGACATGTCAACTGAACAGATTTTAACAGCTGAAGGAGTGATAAATAGGTTGTTTTTACCTCCAACTTTGCGTCGAGATCGGAGTCGGAAGCTACAATGTTTTCGTCTTGCTTTCGACGCAGTTTCTTTATAACTGCTTGTTTGGTAGTCCAGTAAGCATTTTTCAGTCTGTGAGACGTTGAATCATTGGTCCTTTGAATATACCGCTCGCAGCTGGGGTTGTAATAACTAATTCGTAATCAGTAATAGACAACCATCAACCAACATACCTTGTCATCGCCAACGCAACGCGTTTCTGAAATTACGCGGATACTGACTCTTCAGTCCAATACCCAATAGCTTTGTCATGGTTTTGTATTAAACGAATGATTTCTTTGCTCTCTCGCCTTGTTTTTTTCGGTACGGTGCCGGGTGAAAGACACGGTGAGCGCTCAACTTCGAAATACTCAACATCCATTGTCCGGATACCATCAGTAACAGTGGGAGAGAACAAACCAACTTCCAGTTGAAGACAAGATTTGGTGGGTGGTCCGTGCTCCTCCATGAGAAGTAACAGGTGTAAGTAAGTGTGGAAAATTTGGAGATAGACAAAACGTTTTTCAAAGTTACAAGTCGTTTACTACTAAAACACTGAATGATAGTGGGTCAAAACCAGTTGAGTTGGACAACAGGATGGATTCGCTATCATTCATTGCCACCTGAAGCAGTGACTCAAATTCGACGCAAATATTAATTTCCAAAACAGGCTAATCCCACTCACTTATTGTTGATAATTGTACTTACTTACTTACTTACTTACGCCCGTTACTCCTAATAGAGCATAGGCCGCCGACCAGCATTCTCCAACCCACTCTGTTCTGAGCCTTCCTTTCTAGTTCCATCCAATTCTTGTTTATTTTTCTCATGTCTATCTCCATTTCTCGACGTAATGTGTTCTTTGGTCTTCCTCTTTTCCTTTGGCCTTGATGATTCCATGTGGGAGCTTGTCTTGTGATACAGTTGGATGCTTTCCTCATTGTGTGTCGTATCCACTTCCAGCGCTTCTTCCTGATTTCTTCCTCCACTGAGATCTGATTTGTTCTCTCCCACAGTACGTTGTTGCTAATAGTTTCCGGCCAATGGATCTGAAGTACTTTCTGTAGACAATTGTTAATAAACACTTGTATCTTCTGAATGATGGCTTTTGTAGTTCTCCAGGTTTCCGCCCCATACAGTAGGACTGTCTTGACATTTGTATTGAAAATCCTGACCTTGGTGTTGGTTGACAGTTGCTTTGAGTTCCAGATGTTCCTCAGTCGTAGATATGCTGCTCTTGCTTCACCGATCCGCGCCTTCACATCTACATCAGATCCACCCTGTTCATCAATGATGCTGCCCAGATATGTGAAGGTTTTTTCATCTTCCCAATCTTCTCCGTTAATTGTGACTGGATTGGTGCATGCTGTGTTGTATCGGAGAATCCTGCTTTTCCCTTTGTGTATGTTGAGACATACTGCTGCTGAGGCTGCTGCTACACTGTTCGTCTCTCCTGCATTTGTTATTGCGTTTGCGATAGAAGAGCCAGATCATCTGCGAAGTCTAGATCGTCCAACTGCATTCTAGCTGTCCACTGTATCCCGTGCTTCCCCTCAGGTAATGACGTCTTCGTGATCCAGTCGATCACCAGGAGAAAGCGAAAGAGTGAGAGTAAGCAACCTTGCTTAACACCGGTCTTTACTCCGAACGACTTTGTCAACTGTCCTCCATGCACGATTTTGCAGTTGAATCCATCATATGAATTCTGTATGATATTGACTATCTTCTGAGGCACGCTGTAGCGTCGAAGAAGTTTCCATAGTGTTGTTCTGTCCACGCTATCAAATGACTTTTCGTAGTCAATAAAGTTGATGTAGAGTGATGAATTTTGCATTTTGCGCTTGTTTGGACAGCATCAATGCAACTCCTTGTGTATATGGAGCATTTTCTTCTTCATTGCCGGAGTATAACAGAAGCTCCCCTGAAGCTAGTCGCTGTTGTCCAACTTGCGTCTAATGTGTTTCATTGATCCCAAGCACCTCTAGGTTGTTTCTCCTCATTTCTGCAGCAATTTGGAAGGCTCTCCCGGTGTCCCACATTGTACGAACATTCCATGTACCTAAATAAATGGTTGCTCTGGTTGTCAGAAGGGGCATCGGCCTCGTAACTTCCGAAGGAATTCGGCTTTCATCATGAGGCGTCATAATTCTTCTAAATGAAGAGCTTCTGACTCCCGGAGCAGAGTTTAAAAGGTTCGAATAATTTTTTCTGGTTAGCGTTTTTTAGCGGGTTAGTTTTCTACGGGATGGGGACGCTAACCCCATGTCCAACCCTCCTCCTTTATCCGGGCTTAGGACCGGCAGTAGCCCCCGGAGGAACTTCAGGCGGAGGTGTTGATAATCGTAGCGTAGAGTTAATTATTTCTAACAGGAATTTATTGTTTCTTAATAATTTAAAACTTATAAGTAGTGCAATTAATGACATTACTGGCCACCAGTTACCCATCTTGGATACAGTTAATGCCGCCTTGAGTAAAAATCGGGTAGTTGTGTCATTATTCCTTTGGTAGTCACTGAGTGTGGTCCGTCTGTGCCTGGGCTAACAGGCCCAAGGTTGCTGGATGTGAACACTTGTTTTTGTACAGATTCCGACAGTAACTTTAACAAAGATCTGCTATAACAATGTTAGAAGGCTGTAAGAGACATGAATATTCACCCAGTGCACTAAGAATTAGGGAGAGCTCATCTTCTTGAGGCTTAGATTAAGTCCATATGGTTTAAGTGAGGCTGTTAAGAATGAACTAGATAAAGTGGTTGCGAAACGGATAATATTGATAGCTGAGTCGTCCAGTTGAGCTACTTGCATTGTAACTCCATTAAAGACTGATGGAAATACACACAGAATTTTCGGTAATTACCGCATGAGTGACAAATCTTCTGACTGAACGCTTAACTCGGTTTCCTAAACTCTTCTAATAACCCTCCTTCTTTATCCAGGCTTGGGACCGGCAGTAGCCCCGGGAGAGATCCGAGGCTGAATTTCCAATTAAGGTTCCAACGTTTAGTCGAAATTTACAAAGAGTTGTCCCAATTGTCGTTCTAACAACAAGTTGTAACAATTACATATCTATTCTTCAATTTTGTAGGTTACCGGTCAAAAACTCTCAAATACCAAACCAAAGACAATAGAAACTAAAATTGTATAACGGTATAAATTGGGAAGTTTAGTAAAACAAATACACCCAAAGAACACAGTGAAATTATCAATATACAATGTAAAGGTTTCAATCAGACAAATGTCTTCAGTTTTCCCGTAACGCTCCAAGCCAAAAGAACCTTGGCTGTTTTCACATGCAAACAAATAGGCAGCGAGGATTCAAGTATGTGTATTTCAAACGATCAACAACAAACTCTCAGTGTACCAACAGCCTCGTGATCCCTAGGACTTAGACCAGGACGCATATGGATCCGAGTAGCTACATAACATCTACACCTTCAGGACGAAGTTTTTGAATATCTCTTGCTAGGACTCTCTTTCTTGTTCTCAACTCCTTATTATGAATAAGAGTATTTGAATTATAGTATGAACTAAAAATCCCAGAAATAACGTAGTCTGATCAAGAAGTACTAGATGAGCACAAACGAATGTATTGTATTTAGAATTCGAAATCAAACATTCTACAAGTACAAAGAAATCATCAGTTCATTCAAACACCACATCCGCCACAGCTTAAATTGGAGTCTTAGTGCTTGTAATTGATTGTACGTCTTCTCCTTAAGTTCATCCTGTGTCTGACCGAGTTTATTAAATAAAGACTCTGTATTATCTAGAATTCACTCATTAGTATTAGAATTAACAATCGAAATCGAAACAGACTCACTTGCTTCCTGGGATTGTGTACAATCCCCATGTCGGTTGAGTACTGAAACTACTGCTACCTAGAATTTGAACCATAGAAATTCAGACTATCCTCCCCCACGAAATAATGTCGGATCTTCATATCCCCAGGTTATTAATAATGTGGCTTCATTTAAAAAATATTTCTTACATTGATTGTAATATACATTGGAAGTGAATTTGTGATAAGGATGAACAGCATTTGATATGAAATCATCTGAATTGTAATCAAAATCGAGCTCACTTAATACTCGTGCTTCGCATCGAACAAGATTCCCACAACAAACAAATGCTTTATGAGGACAAATAATATTTGATATGACATCAAGATTCGATTCTTCTGAAATAGTTTCCTCAAATTTATTAAGAATGTCATTGCAGAGCAAGGGATAGTTAGGAAAATCAGCATCCATCAAAACTACATCAGGTTTTCGATCATAATTATGTTCACTCAACACATTTTCTTCAGATTTGTAAGAAATTTCATCAGAAATATGTGAATCATTAGGAAAAACTATATTTGGTACAATAACATGAGAAGTCTGACAAATTGATTGATTAGAAACTGCTGTCTCACAAGGATTCTGAGTTTCTGGTGATGAACAGCGTGAACGTCAGAACCACCCTGGCCCCCAAATTGAACAAAAGTGGCGTCATACTGCAGATTGATAATGCAATAATACTCTTCTGTGATTGCGTTAAGTGTCAGTGTCTCGTTCAAGGCGGTTAAACAACCGAGTTCTGATGTCGGATAATTCGGGTGATTAAACACTGCATATAAGTGCTAGGGACTTGAACTGGTCATCAGTAATTGATCTGAGCTTGAACCGTTCGCACTCACTTTTGAAAACGCCAATATGGGTCAAAAAGTCATCCGACTCATTCATGACCAGTTTTAAGCAGCGATAGTGAGTATTGAAAAGCGAATGATGATCATCAAAAAGTTGCCTAAGGGATTGAATAGTGGCGTCGAAGGTACGGTCCCGTGGGTTCTGCGGTAGAATGAAGTTGCAACAGTTGTTCAGCTCGGACGGATCAAGTTTCCGAAGGAGAAGACGCACCTTTCACGAATCATCTCTGTCAGCAGTCAAAGTTGTTAAGGTCATCATAACGTCTGAACCAATTATCAAATGTAATATTGGCATTAGTATCATAAAGAAACTCTGAAATAACACTGGCAATACCATCAACTGATTGTGGGGTTGTCGGTGTAATTGGGACTCGAGAAGATAAGTGCGCCTGAGTAATCATATCCATCACCTTCAGCTGTTCGAACAATTTTTCTAATTTGGCTGGATCCATAGTTAGTCACCAAATCGTTCGCCAAATTATTGTAGTCTGCGGGGTGGCTACTCCAAATTTTAC